TTCTGGACCCCAAGGTCCTTGTCTTGTTGGAAAAATCAAAGATAAAAAATGAGTTTCTTTGTAAAATTTTGATTTCAAGTATTTTTCCAGAAGAGAACCGAAAAGAGTTTTTCTATTTTGTTCTTTTTCTTAGCACCTAGCCCATATATTCCTTTTGGAATACAAGAAACCTGCAACAAAAAACTAAAAACACAAAACTTTCTCTTCAATGAACAAAGAAAAATAAACAGCATATCAAAACAACAACAAGGAGAAGAAACTACTACAAATGCAGCTACTTCAACACAAGCAATCAAAACAACTGCAAAAAATACTAGCTGGGAGGAACTAGTATCTCTAGAAGAAGAGAGTCAAAGCTTGATCTCTACAAACATGTCAACATGTAAAAATGAAGAATGACAACAAAACAACAAAACAAGTCATGTTATAGAACACATGCAAGATCATGAGACAATAGATCAAGAACAACCAATAGAACAAAACATACCGGAGGCCACAGAATTCTCAGAAAATAATCTATATATTGGAAGCTTAACTTCAAAAAAAAAGCTAAAGCAGATACGAGTCAACCAAGAGATACAACCAACAAAAAGTGGTCAAGCCTATTTACAAAATTAAAAAGGAGCCAATCGACTTATGCAGCCTTCTTCTAGAGAACAAGTAAGAACCAAGACTGAGAATGCATTAATTATTGAAATACAAGATATTTAAAGCTCTTTCAATAAAATAATGATCTCACTTTATGAAAGCATCAAACAAGATATCATAGCAGCAAAGCAATACTTTAAAAAGGGTAACCACACACACTTGGAAATTATCTTCTCCAACAAGAATACTCTTAGTCATCATGTAGCCAAGGGTATCAACATCTTCAACAAATCAATCATACTTTGGTTATATTCCAACAGACTCATGCAAGTCTTTCCTTCCAGTAAAGCTTGGAAATGTTCCATTAGAAGGAAAAAAAGAAATAACAATGCTAATCAAAGATGTATTTAAAGATTTTAGCAAAATAGCCTCAATCAAACCATTGGTAATTGAGGGAACACCATACTTAACTGATCAATAGATTGTTATTTTTGATACAACAGAAAATGGAGATTTAGAAAAGCGAATCCCTCGCTTCACTTATCTCAAAGACAACAAAATCACAACTAAATAGAAGGTAGCTCCTAAAGTCTGCTACTTCTTGACCAGGAAGGGCATATAAAAAAAGAATGCACCTAATTCAAAGAGTCAGTTGCATTAAGACAACACTATCAAGAGTTCAAAGAAACCTCCAAGACAAAAAACAGAGACTACCTTAGCAAAACAGCTCAAGAAGTAGAAAGTCTCCCAAAAACTGAAAAGAAAGAGGAATTGAAAGAAGAAGCAATAAGTATAGAAACATCTGATGAGCAAGAGATAAAAGATATCTCACATAGCACAGATTATGAAATAGAAGACACTCAGAAAGAAGCTGAACAAGCAACCACTTTCTCAGAAGCAGAACTTACGACAAGAGATGAGCTTGCATTAGATAGCCCATCTTTTAAAGATAATAACAAAGAGAATAACCCTTCTCAAGAGAATATATCGTCAGCAATTCCAATAGAAGAAGACTTTACAACTGCATTCTACAAGAAGAAAAAAGAAACAAACAAATCAAAATATACGTAAGCAAGCAATAGTAAGACAAGCTCCATACAAGAAAGAATGAACAGAAGAGAATTCTCCAAAAGCTCAATAAGAGCACACTTACCTTTATAATATTTAATGACTAAAGCAATAATTAAAATTGCTACTCTAAAATATGGTACTTGGCCTATCTACTGCTATTTACGAGAAAGCAATTAAATGAAATCAATACTTTAATCACAAACTGGATAAAAAAAAACTCAAAAATGTTACCACAGTACTCAACCTTCCAACTTAGTACTGAACAAGGGGAGCTAGCTGTTCCGATTCTTAAAGATATGCTTAACGTAGGCTGTTGTCAATATGGATTAAACACCTCTCAAGCAATACTTTTTGGGCCAGAACAGAAAGAGAAAAGGCAACAATAAGGCTTCAGAACAAAAGAAAACTATCACCGGGAGCAGCATTATTCCAATTACCTTGCAAAATTAAAGGGTGGCCAGATAGCTGAAAACCTTATATTATAGCCTGAAAAAGGTTTAAAGGTAGCATTAATGCAACCCACACCTGGCCCTAGACACTCAAGCAAATCAAAATAAATGATATAGAAGGACAACAATTCATAGTCAAAAAAGTTTTACAAAGTTGGTATAAACCCACCGAACAATCTCATGATAACTCTGAAAAGCAGATTGAAAGCCATATACCTTACAAATGGTTAAAAACAAAATGGGTCCTAAACAAGAAAAAAGATATCTTCTGGAAGCTAAATTATATAGCACTCCCACTAGGTTACCGCCTAGTGCATATTGACCAGAACAACTTAGGAGACTGCCCAAACTGCCTTTATATAACTCAAACAATAGAGCATTTTGCTCTAAAATGTCCACTTAGCAAAATTATTTGGGAAACCACTTATAGATTGCTTAAAGAAGCAGAAAATGATCACATACCTAACTCACTCGAAGAAATCTTTCAAGCAACCAACATAAAAAATACAAAAAAAAGAGAAGCCGCCACTTGGCTCCATATAATAACAATCTATGAAATTTGGTGCTAGTATACCCAAGCAAGGTGGGGTAACTTCTTAATACCACAAGAAATGATTGCAAGAGTTATAAATATTAAACTTAAATACGAAATCAATCTTCTATATAAATTAGCTTATTGGAATCTGAATTCCAGACCTAACAAGGCCGGGCATATAATTAGTTTTATCAAACATTCAATATAAATATGTACTTTAACTTATTTAATAAAGTATGCTTAAATGCGTAAAAAAAAAAAAAAAAAAAAAAAAAAGATGAAATTGACAATTTTTTAAAAAGATGTTTTTTGTATAAATCAATTTATAATGAGATTAAGATCATTTTTTATTTAATACACAAAAGTAGTTGTATTAATAAAATTTTGTAGTATAGCTCTTTAAAGTCTGTATTTTCTTATTATTTATTATAAGATTTATAATATAAAAATTGATTTTTCAAAGATCTTTTTTTTTGTCAATTTTGTTTCTTTTCTCAGCATCTAGCCCATATCTTCTTTTTCTTGATACAAGAGCTAGTGCCCTTGTTGGGCCTTGTTTTAGGTTGTTTGTAAACTTGTATTAAGTAGTTATCATATTTTTTGTTTGCATTCTTTCCCTTATGAATTTGTACAAAAGAGAGTTTGTGTCGATCCAAATTAGTAAATTTAAAGTTTGACTATATAAAGAATTTTAAAAACTTTATTTTAAAATTTATTTATTTAATAAAAATAATATTTTTATTATTAAATTTAACTAATTTTAACCTCTGGTTAAAATTATAAATTTTAACTACCCTTTATTTTTATAGAATTTTTTATATAAAAAAATATTACTTAAAAATTAGAGTTAGAACATAGGCTATATTAAATTAGAATATAAGCAAATTAGATGCTAGAACCTTTTACTTAATAGCTCAAAGCTAGTTTTTCTAATAAAATTTGCGATATTAATAATTTTTAATTTTTTTAAAAAAATTTATTTTGTTACACAAGATTCTGCAACCTGCTTGGTAAATTATAGAGTAGTTAATATCATCAGAGAGCAAGTTAGCACACTCTTTATTATTAGTTATAAATTGAAAATTATTACTATTTTTGGTATAGTACAGTATTTGTTTTTTTTTGTTTTTTTTTTCAAAACGCATCTAAGCGTACTTTATTTATTCTTTATAAAAACTAGTTTACATATTTATATGTTGAGATTATTTACATATTGAGATTAATATATTTAAGAATATTGTTAGTTTTTTCTGATTTAGAAAAAACTTTT